GTGAAACATTAAAGTTTTGGCTCATTAAAGTTTAAGGCTCATTTTCACGCCAAGAATAAAGAAGTAAACATGTTTATACCGACCTCTAAGCTCCGGATTCACAACACAACTGGCGTGTTTGTTTACATTTCCATTCATCAAAAATTAATATTTGTAAACAAACATAAATAAGAAATACGTAAAAAATATTCTGTTGACAATTATTAACCAGACAAAATTTTCATACAACAGATTGTTTATCTGATCTGGATACAAATGTTAAGGATGGATACAAATGTTATGAATTTGATATAGGTTGGGTTTGATTGTTTAACTCATCTGGATACAAATGTTAAAGATGGATACGAATGTTATGAATTTGATAAAGGTTGGGTTTCATTGCTTATCTGATCTGGATACAAAAGTTGAAGGATGAAAACGAATGTTATGAATTTGATATAGGTTGGGTTTGATTGTGTTAAACTCGAGTAATGCAATGCCAGAATTTTTAGATTTTAATTCTCGTAATTATCACGTGTAATATATTTGAGATTATTCTATAGTTCAATTCTTGTAGTTATTTCACATGTTCTGCTCGTAGAAAAGATACCAGTGCAAGCTCTTGCATATTCCAAACGTGTAAATCATGAGTATTGGAAAGCCAGAATATCTAGATTTTAATTCTTGTAAATATCACGCGTAAAATATTTGAGATATCACGGGAAGAACTTCATATGTTTCATTTTTAACAGAGTTGCAAAATCACAACACTTGGTGTCTCTGCTCATCTTTTAGAAACTAAAAGTTTATTGTAGTAAAATGAAATATTTCAACTGACATAAATTTTTCCGATTATAACAAGCATGAGCAGAGTATAGAAAAGTTTCACATTGAATTTTGTATTGTATTTCTCAACAACCCCTTTTTGGAATATCAAAATTTTAGATATATACAGGAAGGAGAATTCTTACATTTATAAACACATTAACATAATTGAACATTATTTAGACTTGAAATATCACTTTGTGATATGAAAAGTTTAAAGTTTACATGTTCAAGATGATTAATGTAAAAGATATAAACTAAAATGTTTAGTTTCTAAACATTTTGTAATAATTATATTCTTTTGCACAATATATTTATATATCAGAAATCAATTATGTATCCCCCCCCCCTTTCCCGGGGTTTTTAAAAATGTAATTTAATTAGATGGGAGAAAAATTATTTTCCCAAGTAAAAATCCTATGTTCATCTTGTGAAATAAAGGTTTTCACTGTGTAAAAACTCGGTCCTAGACCCGTGATCAAATCGTCGACAATCACCTCGACAGCACGTGAATTATCACGGGATAATGATTGGTCACTCCTGTGAAATACACCAAATAATCTTGTGTTCTTCACGGGTTTTTGTTTGTTGGGTAGGGCTAAAATAGGTACGATTTTCTCATTTTAAAGTTTTAATTAATATTTCTTCAACTTTTGTAACAAAAACAAATTATATTCATTTGTTTACAAATTTTAAACATTAAAAAACCAAAATATTTAAAATTATTTTAACTTTTTGATAACATTTTTCACACTGTTTTTCTTTTCATTTCAAGTTTTATTACAATGAGAACGTACGAGTGTCAGTCTTGATATGAGTGTCAATCTTGATATGAGTGTCAGTCTTGATATGAGTGTTTGTTTGATACGAGTGTCAGCTATTATACAAGTGCAAGTTTTGATACGAGTTAGTTTTTGATTGCCAGGTGCATCCGTGTAAGGTTTGCAACTACAGCTCCCAGTACAACTACAAAACTAAACGTCATGAGCAAACTTCCTATGAAGGATTCAGATACTCCTGCACTAGCTGTAACTGTCAAGCTACTTCATCATCAAACATTCTCAGGCATGAGAAGAAGGTTCATCGGGATTAAAAATACTTCTGATGAACAAACCTATTATTTTTTTTTATTTCCTAGTTCTTTTTATGTTTTATTTTCTTTCTGTTTGTGTTATTGTTTCATTTTATATATAAAAATTAAAACGAATATCTAGTCATTTACTCAAAATCTCCATTTTTTATTAATTATTTTATATAAATATTTTTATTTTGAGTATAGTTGACTATGTAGATCAATTTTGAGCAAACAGTGAGGTATTTTGTAATCTAGATACTAAAAATATTCTAAAATTTAACATAATTCTTATATTTAATCCAGAATTTGTGTGACAAATAATATCTTCTGTCAATATTGTTAATTTTTTTAAATGTAGATCAATTTTGAGCAAACAGTGAGGTATTTTATAATCTAGATACTAAAAATATTCTAAAATCTAACATAATTCTTATATTTAATCCAGGATTTGTGTGACAAATAATATCTTCTGTCAATATTGTTAATTTAATTTTTGTTGGCAATGGTAAATCCATTTTCAATATTTTTTTTTCAAAAAAAGGACTCCTAAGGTCACAACTGTCCATTTTGACCTCCAAGTGGTCATTTTGGAGGCCATATTAAATCAATGGAGAACTCATACGGTCATGGGTACCGAAATCGGGGCAAATCCACATGGTGAATCCAGTCTTACTATTCTTATGTCATTAACATTTCCGTCAACGGCACTTTTGATTTGCCCCGATTTACCATGGGCGTTTACCCCTGTTCAGACACCCATGACGATGTTTGTGTGCTTCAATATAATTTGACCTCCTAAAATGACCCCTTAGAAATCAAATTTTCGGATAATGAC